GTTGGCGGGTAGGGGAACGCATTGAGGAACCTGGCCTTGGGGCAGCAGAGAGAATAAATCCAGCCCTGGTTGCATTTCGTTATGTTGCGCTGAAAAAAAGTAGAACAGGCACTACTCCCTTTTTTTTTTTTTCTTTCAGCGCAACATAATGCAACGGATCAGGTGTCATCTAGCCACATTCACACCCATTCATTATTTGGTGCCCTTCCGTTAGCATCTGAAACGGATCGGGGAAAAAAAACGGAATGTACAATTGCAAGTCAACAGACCCCCTGTTGACTTGCGATTTAATTCCCATTTATATTCAAGGTTCTCTAAGTGTTTGCGCTTTTGGGTTCATATAATCCTTTATTCATAGCAGCTTTAATTTCCTTAATTTTTTTACTTTCTCCTGTAAGGCTATGTAAGTCTTTACTATATGGGTTCTCAGTGCACTTGTGGTCTGGATTTATACAAGCCTTTACCCAAAGCCACCTAAGGTTGTCTGTGCTTTTGTGTTTTGGGCTTTTCGTGGCAGCTTCTGGTTGTTTATTCTTGCATATTTCACCAGTCTGTCCTTATCTGCTTCAAGATATGCAAGCTCTTACAAATTGCAACCTCATATTGTCGGTGCTTATACATTTCCAAGGCTATACAAGCTCTTACTCTTTAACTAAGGATAAAATAGAGATGGCTTATTTTTTTTTTTTTTTTTTTAACAAGCATGGCATCAGTGGCAACAGTTTCTCCTTTGTCTCCGGCTTACAACATGGCTGAATAATGAGAGGTTTTCCTGGTCCGTATTTTCCTGTTTTATTAAAAGGCCTGAAGTGAATTATTAAAACATGTTGTTAAAGTATTGCTGTTTCAGTAAAACTCTTCATCTGTGTGCCCTGTTTTAGTGGTCCATTGTGTCTTTATGTAAGCTGAAAGCTTGTTTTGTTTTAAAGGAGATGCAGCTAAAATAAATCAGATTTAGCAATGTTTAACAACTAATTGTGTAATCGTCATTTAATTAGTCAAATAAGACTCTAGGGCAATGGTTCTCAACCTTTCTAGGGCCGGGACCCCTTGGTAACATTTGCCAAGTTGTGGTGACCCCCAAAGGTAAAATTTAGGGATGACGCGGCTGCTGCAGCAACATCTGGCAGCGTGGTGTGAGAACTGACACTGCTGCGCAAGGAGAGAGCTGAGGACTCTCACTTTGCACAGCGACCCACAGGCTGAGAACCACTGCTATAGGCAAAGACAGGATCGGGCTCTGCAGATGGAACTAGAAGAATTGGATTGAAGTGTGTGGCTATATAACGTATGAGGTACATACTCAGCAGTACTGTCACTGATAGGGATGGGCTCGGGTGTGTTCGCAGCTCCACGTGCCGAGCCCACCAGGAAGCTGACAGCGCGCAGACTATTCGACCCCGGAGGGGGTCCCGACCCACAGGTTGAGAACCACCGCTCTAGGGGAACTCTCCTACCTTCCCATCCTAGCTATCCCATAGTTGTTTACACACGGAGATAAATACCCTCTCTGTGCAATGTTAAAGGAGAACTATGAGGTGATTGATTTTCACTCAACTCATAGTTCTAGCCGACCTGTGACAATGAGACTGTCACAGGTCGGCTCAGTAGATCGGGAGGTGAGCGAACACATACCAGCGTTCGCTCACCTCTCGATCCTGTCACGGCTCTCTTCCGTGACGGGAGGGGCTGGATTCCCCGTTCCGTTCCGATCCCCTGACTGGCGGAACGGGAGGGGGCGGGTACAGCTGGCTCTGCCTCTAGATAGGCAGAGCCAGCTGTCAGTCACGCAGCTGGGCGGATCCCGTCATCTAAGTCAAACAAGACGACCCGTCTGCATTTTGCAGTATTGTTTACAAGATACTGGTCTCTAACCAGAAAAAGGGTGACAGTCTTTGTGTAGGGCTTGTTAACAATGAATACTCTCCAGCACAGTGGGTATAGATACAGGTCTCCATCCTCCTCCACAGCCAGCACTAAAGTGACTAGAGTGGGCGCCCTGGGGCAGCAATGGCAACTTAACCTGGTCATGTGACAGTGCTTGATTCTAGCGATTGGCTTCTAGACCTGAGCAATCGCACAGGAGAAGAGGTCACTTGTACCTTCCTACCTGGAAGTGCTGAGTATTGTGGGCAGCTCTGTGACAACCTTATTACTAGGAAAGGTAGTGTGGAAAAGTCTCATTAACAAGGACACGGCTACATTAACCTTCTCGTTCTCTTAATAAAAAAAAAATCTGTTTTTAGAGACCCACATGTGGGGCTACATACAGCAAGGAAATGCTGACAGGGGTTATAAACCTTCCCCACTTAATCAAAAACTAAGAAAAAAAATATCTGGAGTTACACTGCAAGTAATAATTGCCAGGATAATTTGCCACCTAGGAGACAAACATACAACCAGCAAATGTGTCCATTCATTGTCTTCCATTGCACACTACTGGGGCCTAACTCCCAGGAATCAGCCATAATACCAAAAGCTGCTATCTGAACCATTCTTTAAGTGGGATCTAGACTAGAATTAAAAGAGCTACCGTTATTGATTGGACTGATT